ACATTAAGTTGTTAGAAAAAAGTGATGGGGAGATATGGGAGGAGTTGGAGGGGAGGGAGTGGGCATGGATTTGATCAAAACACCTTATAAGCATGTATGAAATTCTCAATAAAATTTTTGTAAAAATTTTTAAAAAAAGATTTCCATCTAAAACACATAAAGAATTCTTAAAATTCTGATAAACAATTCAATTAAAAAACAGGCAATCCACAAAATAAGATTTAAGAATGGTCAATAGGCATATGAAAAGACATTTAAGCTACAGAAAGACACATATTACACATCTATAATAATGGCTAAAATTATGAGCAAACTGTGATATAGCTGAACAATGGAATGTTATTCAGCAAACTCCTGCCCCTACTTCTTCAAATCCTGGGGGTGTGGAGAGATGGCCCAATAGTTAAGAACACTGGCTGCTTTTGCAGAGGACCTGGGTTAGATTCCCAGCACCCACATAGCAGCTAACATCCATCCATAACTGGAGTTCCAGGGGAATTTGACACCCTCTTCTAATCTCTATGGGCAATTGCATGACACAGGTACACTTACACACATGCAGATACATAAAATAAAACCAGTTCTTGGCAACCACTGATATGCCTGTTTTGGGCACAAAAATGGTACCAATAAAAAGATGTAGCTTTTTTGTATAGCTTCTTTTACTTAACACATGCTTTTGAGGTTCACCCATATTACCATATCAAGAGATTTTCTCTATTGCTGAGTAGTAATCCATTATATGGACATACCACATGTATTTTATCCATTCATAGGTTAGTGGTTTATGAATTGCTTTCAGATTCTGGTGACTATAAATAAAGCTTCCCAAAATATTCTTGCACAGGTCTTTAAAGAGACACATCTGTCTTTTACTTTGGCAAATACCTGAACACTGAGATTTCGGGATCATGTGGTAAAACCTTATTTGACTTTGTAAGAAGTAGTCAAACTGTTTTCCAAAGCCTCTGAACTATTTTTTACATTCATTTTTTAAAAAAGATTTACTTTTTAGCTTATGTATTTGTCTGTGTGTGCTTGTATACGCATATGTGTATGGGGATGGGGTGCTTGTGGCCAGAAGAAGAAATTGGATCCCTGGAGCTGAAATTACAGGTAAGGAAATGAGCTAGCTCCCCTATATTGAGTGTTGGGGCTTGGGTCCTCGGGAGAGCAGTGAGTGCTCTTAACTACAGAGCCAACTCTCCAGCCCCTATTTTTGCATTCTTATAAACAATGCATGAGAGCTGCAGTTGCTTTACATAGTCATTCCCCAAAGCCCAATAGCTATGAATCCATAAATTGATGAATACTTTCATGAGGTCAGAGCCAACATGTTCAAAGGCCTCACCTCTGAGCACTGCTGCAAGCCTTTTTCAAGAGAATTTACTCAGTGGGCCCAATGTCTGTGGCAAGAGTGCCAACTATGTGGCAGCACACTGCCAATGCTACTTCTAGTCTGTGGCCTTGATTCTGGTCACTTAGCTTCTCTGGGTTTCTTCTAAGACTAGTCCTATAAACAACAATTCTGTGAGTTAACAATATTGTTCAAAAATCCCTAAGATAGCCAAGCTTGTTCTCTGTGGCTTATAACAAAAGCCCCAACTCCACTGAGAAGCCAGCCCTCTTTTGCCAGTCTTCTTGACTCCCAGAGATGATATTTGGATGCTCTATCTTCTCTGCTCCATTACTGGAGTAGACTACAATCAATCAGTTTCCATCTACTGCATTAGGGAAATAGTCTTTATACCAGAAAGGGCAGATATGTTATAGGTCAGTATTCAGAGTTTGGAACAGGCCATCTTTAACAGGTTCCCATAACACACTTTTACTCTACTGCCCTCTAGTGCCTAAAACAGAACCATCCCATGTGTTCACCTCCCAAAGAAAATAGACTTCAAGAGCCACTGAGCTCCAGAACCCTAGACCCAAAATAGTTACTGGTTCCTGAAGCCAAAAATGGGCATTCATTTTGTTTTACATTTAACTGAAAAATATTTATTCAGTTGAAAGTTCAGATAAAAGTTTAATAAGTAATTTAGTTTAAATGTCATGACTGAAAAGACTTACATGACTTCATTTTAATTACTACCCCATATAAATTATACCTATAAAACTAGAAGCTTCCCACAATAAAGAAACAAATAAGCACTTAGATTATTTAGTGTCCTTCTCTAAATGTACATCAATGGAAAAGGAAAATTAGACAGAAATCTTAAGATCTGGCCTATTAATTTTAGACAGACATAAACACAATTCATTTGACAGATTCAATTAATGTCCTGTTTTATGTTGTAGGTGATAACTGAGAAAAACATTCCTAAAACACAACCGTTGCCATAAATTTCATTTCTAGAAAGAAGAGTCAATTATGTCAAATCATGAGTATTACCTATTTCCACTTGTAGTTCATAGTGAGAAACAGTAGTGGAGCCTATTACTTCATTGGCTCTAGCAGAAGGAGGTGACCAGGAAAGGGGTGGCTCATCAACCTGCATTTTTTAAAGATGAAAATGAAACACACGTAAACATTTAGTTCTTCAATTTGGTCTCCCAATTAAAAAATATTGATGTTCATTAAGAAGTCACCGAAAGATAGCTGAGAGATTGTTTTAAGATCTAAAAGGAATTTACCAATTTCAAATTGACATGAAAGAGCTTTCGGCTATAAAGGGGGAGAGGCAAGAAAAGCAGATTTACAAATAGCAGGGAATATTTTTCCAAGGCAACTTCCATTAGAACTTCTAGAAGTTGCTAAGAATGGCTGATAATTGTGAGCATATCAAGGGAAGAGCTACAGCGACCTGCAAAGGACAGTCCAGACTTGTGCTCTTGCTTTGAGTCCAAGGTGTATGCTTTCCTAATGGAAATGTTAACAGTGGTGAACAACTTCCCTGTCAGTCTATTAAATTAGCAGAAAAAGCTTTTCATATGATGAAATGAAGAAAAATGGAGGTCAGAAAAAAAAAATAAACTTAAGGAGATGGGAGCTTAGGATGCAGGCCTGCTGAGTGAAGGTGTGTGTACCAATGTGAGGTCTCACTGGGTGCTTTACAGTCAGAGTTAGTATTGCACCTAAATATAGCAGCAGTGAAATATCAGGCATGCAGTAGAAAGAAGAGGATTAACCACTGGTGTAATATGATAGCCATGAGGATCTCCTAAAGGACACCAGGACCCTAGAGGACACTAAGAAGCCTTTATAGGCACTAGCAGGTGGTAAGAGTCTTGTTACTGCCTCCAATGTGGGAAGAAAGAAAAAGGGGGAAATAACATTACTATGTGTTAGGAACTGTACTAACTACTTTTCACATCCTTGACTCTACAATCAAGAGAAAGAGAGTCTGAAACTAATAGATGGAGTTATATACAGTGGCAGAGATGTTCCCTAAATTTAAAAGAGCAGAAAGAAAAATCATAAGCCTAAATAAATAAGTGAATGGTATCCAAGAGGAATGAAAGATTATGAAGAAAAAAATCTACCATACAAGAGGAAATAATCCCAAAGGAAAAAAAATCCACACAAATCAATTTGCTTTCTTTAGAAAAAATAGCATTCAGAGACACACAGATTTAAAGAAAGTATACAATAGAAATAAAAATATATAATGATGTTTAAAATTTTTAAAGTGATAGCAAAGGAAGGCTTGAAATAAGACTTAAGGCACTGAGGCTTGAAAAATGGCATGTTACTGCGTGATGAACTGAAAACAGCTCACTAGCCTGCATTTGCTTCCATTTATTGCATAGGAAATAATCTTCGAACTAGAAAGGGTATACACGTTGTAAGTACTCAATCTCTAAACAGGTTAGAGTCTTTGTTTTCTTGGTAGTTTTGTTGTTGTTTTGAGAAAGGGTCTTGTTATATATCCAGGCTGACCTTGAACTTGTGATCCTCCTACCTAGGCTCCACATTGCTGTGATTACATATGAGCCACTAGGTCTCTCATCCAGGACAATTACACTTATGATATTAAATTTGTAGATATGGTAGAACTCAGATGACAAACCAGAATGGAAATAATCAACCAACCCAATTTTCTTTTTTTCTTCCTTCCGTCCCTCCTTCTCTTCCTTCTTTCCTTCTTCCTTTCCTTCCTCCTTCCTTCCTCCCTCCCTCCCGCCCTTCCTTCTTCCCTTCCAGCACTGACCCAATTTTCTTTCTCTCTTTTTCTTTCTTCTTCCTCCTTCCCCCTGCCTCTGTCTTTCTTCCAGTCTTTCATTCTTCCCTCCCTCCCTCCCACCTCTCTCTTTCTTCCAGTCTTCCCTCCCTCCCTTCTCTCTCTCTCTCTCAATAAGGTCTCACTCTATAGCCCAGGCTTGCCTTGAACTAGTGACAATCCTCCTGCTCAGTCTTCCAAGTGCTAGGATTACAGACATGAGCTACAATACTTGATAACTGGCCCAATTTTCAAAAAAGGTAGAACACTACAAAATGGCAAGCTTGATGCTGCTGCCCAGTAGAGACTGAGATCAAATTATCATTCAGATGAAATATGCTTTCAATGAAGAAAACAACAGGGAAATCACAAGAACATAGCACAAGGTTACAGAGACTAAATCATCCCAAACTAGCCTCACTTCTGTTTGACTAAATGACTTGAGAACTAAAAGGCAAAAATTATGGCAGGGTCCTTGTCCTAGTTTCGTTTCTGTTGCTGTGATACCCAGACAAAAGCAACTTAAAAGAGAAAGGGTTTATTTTGGCTCACAGTACCAAAGGGATAAAGTTGATCATGGCAGCAAAGGCATGGGGTCAGGAACATGAGGCCACCTTATCATATTGCATTGGTAGTCCGGAAACAGAACAGAAAGTGAGGCCAGGCTATAAAACCTCAAGCCCCCCCCCCCCCAGTGACTTATTTTCTCCAGCATAACCTTCCCAAACAGTTCCAGCAGCTAAGGACCAAGTTTCAAACACCTGAGCCTATGGGGTGTGGTATTTATTATTATGCCAACATCATAATCACCTGAACAAATAGACTAACTTTTAAATTATGGTTTTAAGAGTAGGCCAGAACTTGGAGAACATTTGTTCCCCTAGCTATCTATTAGAACTGTCTGTCTCCCAACCGTGCAGATGGATCTCTCTTGTCCTCTCAACCTGTACAGATGGAGTTGTCTGTGTCCTCACCCTGTGCCAGTGGAACTGTATCTGGAACAGTGTTTCTCCCACGATGCCCCCCATCAGGCTATACCCATCATTTATTCAAAATGGTTTCTCCAGCTTCATTGGGGAAATAGGAGTTCAATTTCAGCTCCACACTTAATCCTCATAGACCATCTGGTCTTTTCATGACTTGTTCACACTCATCCAAGGTCACATGTCATGTTCCTTCCAATCTCCACTGCTTCCAATGGGTGGGTGTGTTGCCTGAGGCATTAATATGTTAATTCAAGCATACTCACATTCATTCATTATCTTTTTAAGGTGGAGTACCAAACTGCGGTTGCCAAGGAGCCACCTTGGTCATCAGACACAAGAGCATGGTTTTGCTGGGGTTAATTATAAGTCATTAGTCCAGATTACATAAAATAGTAATAGTCATTAATAAAAGTCATTCTTACAATGGAGGTCATTTCACACTCAAACCACAACAGTCTTTGTCCTATTAAACTCTTTAATGACTCCCCAAAAGATGCAAAAAGCCTAATTTAAGACAAAAAAAAAAAGGTATGGCTAATACATGGCTAGGCATACCCAATTACTGAAAGAACAAATAAGGAGTCTCAGTTATCTTGATCAACTGAAACAGCCCACATCAGTAAAATTTCAGAAAGGATATATGCAAGCTCTTATTCTTAACATAAAGAAAACAACCATAGACTAAATACTATAAAACTGAGGATACCAGGTTTAGGACCTGGGGGTTTTAGACAGTACACTACAGGATATAAGCAGGGTAGTCACAGAACAGCACAGTGTGGAGCTACAGTGACAGATACAAAGTGAACAGACGAAAGAACAAAGGCCTCTTCTGAACTGATTACTCAGTATCTGGAGTACTATGGATGAGACCCCACAGTTTAGGAAGGCAAATGACAATGCTTAGAGATAGCTAACCATGTCAATCAAAGAAGACCTGGCCACGTTGATAGAAATGGAAGCACTTAACCCAGAAAAGAAAATACTAAGAATACATAGAGGTACCACTTTCAAATGACTGAATGACTAATACAGAAGGGTAAATATAAATGCTCAGATGATAGAGCTGAAATCAAAGAAGTTACAAGAAGATTTCAATTCAATGTAAGAAATCCATAGTGACTGTGTCATGTAATAGTGGAGTAGGCATCAAGTTACCTCCTCCCATCATTTCTTCTCCACTGATATGTTCAAGCAGAGGTTGAATGACCACTATTGACAATACTTGAGGTACATTCAAGAACTACAAGTGAGGGGCTGGAGAGAGAGCTTAGTGGTTAAGAGCACTGGTTGTTCTTGCAGAAGACCTGGGTTTGAATCCCAGCACTCACACGGTGGCTAACAACCGTCTGTAATTCCAGTTCCAGGGGATCTGACACCCTCTTCTATCTTCCATGGGCCCTACACAACACAGGTGTACTTATACACATGCAGGCATACTTATACACATTAAAAAAAAAAAACGGGGCTGGAGAGATTGCTCAGTGGTTAAGAGCACTGACTGCTCTTGCAGAGGACCTGGGTTCAATTCCCAGCACCCACATGGCAGCTACAAACCATCCTTAACTCCAGTTCCAGAGGAATCTGAAGCCCTCTTCTGACCTCCGCAGCAATGCACAATACAGGTGCACTCACATACATGCAGGCAATACACTCATACACATAAAATAAAAATAATAAAAAATAAATAAATAAAAAGAACTACAAGTAGAATGGGGTTGGTAGTACATGGGAAGGTCAAAAAGTCAAAACACAAAAGACTCAATGTATACAAATGTCTGCTTATAGCTTGAGAAAGTACTATGATATGAATTCAAGTACTCTGACAACTAACATTAGTTCTTCATTATAAATTTTTACATTTCTTTTTTTGTTGGTCTTTTTGAGACAGGGTCTCGCTGTAGCCCCAGTTGTTCTGAAACTCACTATGTAGACCAGGCTGGCCTTGAACTCACAGAGATCCACCTGCCTCTGCCTCCCAAGTGTTGGGATTAAAGGCATGTGCCACCACGCCTGGCCCAAATTTTTAAATTTCTAATTTTGTTACCCATGACATTTCACTTAAGACTGATGATGCAATGGAGGCTAAAGATATATTTGTCTAAAGAGCTTGGCTAATAAGAACCTACTGAAGGTTTTCTGACTAAATCTAGTTTCTGACCCTGAGATAGAGAAGGAACATATCACAAAACACAGTTTAAAAACCAAGTTAGTAAATGGTCTTTCATGAAGTTGCTTTTGTTGTTGCTGTTGTTTAGACACAGTTTCAACTGTGCAGCCCTGACTGGCCTAGAGCTTGCTATGTAGACCATGCTGGCCTCAAATTCACAGAGATCTACCCGTCTCTGCCTCCTGAGTGCTGGAATTAAAGGTGTGTGCCACCATACTCAGCTCTATGAAGTATTTTTAGAGATCCTAATAGGTTTTTATTTATAATCAAACATACCTTTATACATTATTTTTTCTATGATGGGACTTTTTGCGAATTTGAAGTTTTGCAACACTATCCGAACACTCCTTACATGGGTTGAAGATTGGACTATAAGGCTTTTTAAATATACAATACTAAAATTGCATTATTTTAAAAAGCAGCACCTGAACTCCAACATCACCACCTTTCATCTGCAAAGTTTATTTCAAGAAACAAGTTTTTCTGTACATAGAGGGATTTTCAAAGTTATAGGTGACACAAATCACTTTGAAACCTAGGACTGTCCTCCAAACAGGCATTTTTAACCTAAAATTTCATCCAGGCTATAGCTATAAGTCTCCAAAATAGATGACAACAGATAGTGTTCATAAGCATGACTCAGAGAGGGTCCAGGAACCCTTTTCCAATCACTAGGCACCAGTTTCCAGCAGGGTCAATTTACTATACAACTTCTCCAGTTTGTTTTTCCATAGGAGACTTCAAATTATGCCTCTGCTTCCCTCACTTAAGACTTTTGTTTAACTCTGAAGACAAACAGCAAATTACCTCCTTAAAATTAAAAGGGCTCCAACCTGGAGGTTGGAAGGATGCCAGCATGGAAGTTTCCAGAGTTTCATGCCTCTCTCACTTATAGCACGAAGACATGTCACATGACTGAGCTACCTCTATCTGAAGGATAGCATGGATTGGACATTATCTCTTATTGTACAAAAAGGCAGGTACCTTGAAGGTTTTAGACTACTGGTAACTAAAAGGTGAAATTATAAAAATGGCAATGGTTGAAGGCAGGCTTGAGATAAATTATAAGCAAGAATAACTGTAATTACCTTATGTTGTAGCAAATTTTGCAAGGCAGGTTTCATTTTGTAGTAAAAATTGCAGTACAAACTAAGGATTAAGAGGAAAAATGACCCAGAAACATATGTGTTACCAAGTACGCCCCTTAAAATGTTACTTAATAAACTAGGCCCTGCTTAGGAGATGAGTAAGCTAGGATACCTCTCCTATGGGGATCACATTATGGTTAGAGAGACAGACACCTCAACCACTGTGAGATAGTATAGGAACAACTCTTCTGAAAATATCTTAGTTAGGTTTAGCATAATGAAATAAAAAATGTAAGTGAAGGGGTTGGAGAGATGGCTTGGTGGTTAAGAGCACTTAACTACTATTCCACACGATCTGGTTTAGTTTCCAACACCCACATGGTGGCTAACACCTATCCTTAACTCCAGTTCCAAGAAATCTGATGCCCTCTTCTGGCCTATGAGGGCACCAGGCAGACACATGGTACATTTACATACACGCAAGCAAAACACTCAGACATATAAAATAAAAATAAATATTTTAAAATAAAAAATTTAAATGTAAGTGGAAAGATTTCACAGATATGCTATTTGGAACAATTCTTTATAGATGAGAATATCGGAGGGAAGGCAGAACAAAGGTATTTCAAACAGACAGAGTATGTACTCAGCAAGAAATGAACCTCATGAATTCGTCATGTATCACACCATTCAAGTCCCTATATCATGCTGAGAAGTTTGAACTTTATCCCATAGGTTTAGAAGCAGACTTGCCTTGGAACAGCCCTGAATGCTGCTGTGAGTACTGTGGAAGGAGGCTGCATGTGTGTGTAGACTACAGACATTGAATCTGCCCACAACAGGACAGGTGGGAGAAGATGAAATTGAGTAGCAGTGCTCCTTCATAGGAGGGACGGAGAAACAGACTCCTAAGACTTGTGTCTAACTCTATATGGGAGCAAGGGGAAAGGCGGTGTGAGGATAACTTCAAAGTTTCTGGTATGGATGACTTAACAGGTCATTAGACAAAGTAAGAAACAAAATGAGCTACTGAAGTTTGGAAGCAGATCAATATTTCATTCAAATTCAGTAGACAGCACTGAAAAATCTAATGAGTTGTATTCTCTGGATACTTCTGGTGCCCAGAAAAGAATAAATCTGGTAATCATCAGTTTTTGCTGCTATGGTCCTCTTAGAACACCTGAGGTAGCTCTAGGTCAGCAACGGAAACCATAGGAATACATGACACTGCTCAGGGAGAGTTGCTTTAGGAAGAAGAGAAGTGATCAGTTACAGACTTTTGGAGACTAGCAGGAGGAAGAAGAAACAGTAAAAGACAAAGCATTTATGTAAGAGAACCAAGACTAAGGAGTGTTACAGAAGGCAAAAGAGAAGCATTACCTATATTCCACCATGTTCTTACCAAGTATTGGTGGATACTGCTTTCAGACTGCTTTTCAGGTCTGAGTGATTCAACTCGGGTTCGTGAAGTACAGAAACAATCCTGAAAGTCAGAAATACATTAAAAAGGAGTGAAAATCATAATATATACACAGGGGTGGTTTGCAGATACAAAAAGGTCTGGTGTCAAGACTGGAGGCAGAAAGAACAGTCTGGATAGAGGTAATTATTATGGTAATTGGACAGAGAAGTAGCTGGCTATAGCCTATCTCTGATCCTTGCCTTCACTCTTCTTGAGGCTATAATATAAATCTATTAAAACTGTTGGTGCTATTTTTAATTTTTAGTACCTTTGATGAATTTCTGAGTATTTGGCTTAAAATTATCTTCTGAATATTTAGCTAAAGATCATTCTGCTTTATTGTTTTTATTTTAATCCTCAGATATTTTTCTTTTTATTCTTAAATTTTTATCTATTATTTTTATTTTATGTGTATGAGTGTATTGCCTGCATATATGTAAATGCACCCATGTTGTGCAATGCCTGTGGTGGTCAGAAGAGGGCATCACATCCCCTGGACCTGGAATTAGGGACTGTTCTTAGCCTTCACGTGGGTACTGGGAATGAACCCAGGTCCTTTGCAAAAGCAGTTGGTGTTCCTTACCTCTGAGCCATCTCTCCAGCCCTAGATATACTTCTTTTTAGATGTAGAAACCATGTTTTCCACATTAGATGATTTATTTATCCATATATTGAATACATTTATAACCAAATTTGTTTTTTAAGGTGATAAACATGTCCAACTCAAAGCAAATGAAGACATTTGCTTCTATTACCATAATTTACATCTTCTTGCATATCAACTCACGGTTCTGTTATCGTGTTATAGGTGTTACATCATCTATAAGGAAATGTAATATCTACATGTGATCCATCACATTGGCAACATGGAATAAAGCTGATCTTCTACCATTTAAGAAGAAAAAGTATGCCAAAAGAAAAGTATACACAATATATGAGACCTCTAATTACTTTTAAGCTTCTCACCAACACTCACTTATATGAACATTCAAGCACTATATCAAGTAAGTGTCAAAATCTACCCATATCCACCTAACATTTTGTCAGTTACTTAAAAGTAATTAAACTTCCCTTTCTTTTAAAATATGCCAGAATTTCTCAATATCAAACTAGTTGTTTTCCTAGCAACCCTAATCTACAAATTATTTTAAGTTGAATTCAGTACTCTGAATCTCAGAATTCTCATCTATCAAATGAAGTCACTGAAGTAAATGGCATTGCATTATTTCCCCCACTTACAAACTGGTGTAAATCTTGAGAACTCATTTAGAATAGGGGTCAACAAACTATGGTTCATTATTCATTCTATTTTAAGAGTTATTTTTATTTTTTATTCATGTATATGTGTGTTTGTGTCAGAGTATCCCAAATGCATGCGGGTGCCCATGGAAGCCAGAGAGTGGGTTGGATCCCCGAGAGCTGGAGTTACAGGCAGTTGTGAGCTGCCTGATTGATGTGGGTGCTGGGGACAAAACTTAGGTCCTCTGGAAGACCAGTATGCAATCTTAGCTGCTAAGCCAGCTCTCCAGCCTCTCATTCTGTTTTTTCATTGCTGTTTTGTGTTTTTCTGCTTACAAATATGGCTGCTCTCATGCTACCAGGGCAAAAGAGAAGCAGCAGAATGCAAACACTCTCTGGCCTTTACCGAAAAAATGCTTGCTGACCCTGCTTTAGAGAACAAGGTACTTCACTTCAATGCATTTTCCAGATACATACATTTAAACAACTGTGTTATGTATTCTTCATATAAAACTCCTGGGGCTGGAGAAATGGCTCAGCAGTTAAGAACACTGACTGTTCTTGCAGAAGACCTGGGTTCAAATCCCAGCACCCACATGGCAGCTAACAGCTGCCCATAACTCCAGTCCCAGGGGATCCGACAGCATCTTCTGTCCTCTGCGGGCATTGCACAACACAGGTGCACTTACCTACATGCAGGCAATGCATGCATACACATAAAAATAAATAAAATATTTTAAAAAAAACTATCACCTAACATCACAGTTCTACCTCTCAGCCTTGGTGACTGGTAGAGCAAATAGCAGACATGAACCCTGGCTACAATTTTTGGCAATGATGAGCAAACTCACATGACGCTGCCTGCCTTACCAATCTTTTACAACTTTAAAACCAAAATCACTACCTTACTATAAAAATTCCCCTTTCAAATATTATATTGTAGATGAGACAGAAATGAAAGTCCCCAAGCTATTTAATCTAAAGCAGACATCAAGCATCTAATATAACACAAAACAGGCCATGTGTGGTGGCACATACCTTTAATCCCAGCACTTGGGAGGCAGAGGCAGGCGGGGCTTTTTGTGAGTTCTAGGTAGCCCCGGGGCACCAGGGGGACCCGTCTCCAAAAGACAAAAAAAAAAAAAAAAAAAAACAAAAAAAACAAAACAAAACATACTGGCATCTGTAGCTCACATGATGCATTCAAACGTTTTTGTCTGATTAAATCAAAGAGATTATTTTTAAATGTTACCTTACTTGCCTTAAGTCACATGGAAATTTATAAATGGGATTTCTGAAGGCTTTAAAAGATGACACAAATAAATGCATGTGTGAATATAATATAAAATTTAGAATTGAGAAGAAAGGGTATTTAAAGAAAAAGCATAGTTTTTGTCTTTTCCTCATGGTAGATGTCTATATAAGTTTCTTCATACTGAAGTAGCAGGAATCATTTGTGTATTCCACAAGAGTTCAGTAAGTGCCCTTTCTGGGCAGTGACAGTGGAGTTGGGCTTCCTTTTCGACCCTATAGATCAACAGTGCAGCGGGAATTGGACATGACTGGACACTGATTTGCTGGATATGCTAAATGAGATAATACCATTATTGTTTTTGGTAACTACTTTTTATTGTGCTATAAATTTTCTAGTTTTCTTGTGAAAGTTAAAAAATAAATATACATAAAGATTGAAAAATAAAAGCTGACACATAGCTAACAGGATAGGACTGGCATCTAAGTAAAACATGCCTATGAGGAAAAAAACGGGTTTCAGACAAAGAAGTAGAATAATGAGTATTTTTTAAAGTATAGAGAAGCTTTTTGAAAAAGACAAAAATTCATTGAGTTTATATTACCCTCAAGATCACACAGCATTCAGGTCAAAGCATCTCAGAGCTTAAAATAGCCTATGAGGAACTAGAGTGATGGCTCACTGGTTAAGAGCACTGGCTGCCTTGCAGAGGACTAGGATTCAGTTCCCAGCATCCACATGATAGCTAAGACAGTCCCAACTCCAGTTTGAGGGGATCCGATGCCCTCTTCTGGCCTTTGTGGGCATTGCACAACATGGATGCATTTACATACATGCAAGCAAAATACTCATACACATAAATTAAAAAAAAAAACAGGCCATCAGAATATGTATTTTTTCCTCCAACTTTAACTATTTTGACAGTTTAAAAATCAGATCTATGTTAATAAAACTTACCAAAAGAGACATTGAACCGCTTTAGTTCACAGAAAGTGACAAAAATCCATCTACTCCAAAGATTTTTGCTTTATCTTCGAGATACAGAAAGATCCTATTATAAAAACAAAAGCAAATTTATTTAGATCTACACAAAAGTTACTTGAAGAACATGAACTTAGTAGATATTTAGGCAGCTACACATTGACGCAGGACTTTTTAGAAATACTCTTGAGGTAGCTGTAGAGAACACTGTTCTTTACTGAATACCACTTGGAAATCTGAAACCAAAATCACTGCCAAAAGACAAAAAAGAAGTTGAGGGCAGTTTCTGAAATTACATTTCTCAAAGCCTCAAGATACTACATCTCTCCTTCCATCTCCTTTTCTACCCTGAACAAATGTGAAAGCAATACAGAGTAGGAATTTTGGGTTTTTTTTTTAAATATATAAATGGCAGCACTTACAAATAGATCCTAAGAATGTCCAGTGGTTCCATTTACAAGTAAATTCTAAGAATTTCCAAATATTTCTGATTGAATTACCAACTAACTCATTTGGGGCCCAGGGAAAGAAACAGGATTTGTAATGGGCTTATATGTTCTTGTTGCCATATGTTTAAAAGCAGGAGACTTTTTAGTTATCATGCAACAACGGTAGTCTTCTTAGGTTGAGTCTTTTTACCTTATGATTTTTAGTTCTCAACGATACTCATCTTGGGATGTGTTGACACAAAACTATGCAGATTACTATGCCAGCAATTCCTGTCCATTTTCATTAACAGATTTTGAATTTTAACACTATGTCTTCAGATTCAAGGAGATACAAAACCACCACCAAAAGTTTCTGGGTCTTTTCCAGTAGCAAGGGTAGTATTTTAAGCTTTGGCTAGTATTGGATGTTCCTGTGTAAACAATATTACCTCTTTCATCTAAATTGGGCTTCATTCTTTCATTTTAGTGAAGTCTGTTTGTCACTTGCCAAACATTGCTTCAACTGAGGCCCTGGGGGAAGTAAGGAAAGCAATGCTTATCCTTACAAAGTGAGATAAAATGAATGCTTCCTCTCAAAGTGCTCATAACTACTCAACACTATATGTACATAAAAGACAGACCGCTGCAGTGGTAGGATGAAATGTCAAGCCTCATCTGGAAACCAAGCTGGCCATGCTTGGATAACCATGAAGATATTCACAACTTGTGACCTAGCAGAAATGCTTATTTTATTAATCTAAGGCGATAACAAAAAAAAAATGAAGAAACCACACACAGAAAACATATTCATTCCACACACTAACGAATAGCCACTGTAGGTCAGGCACTGCTAGGCAATGGGGATCCCCCCCCAACACGCACACAGTGGTAATCAAAGTAGACACAGCCCTGACCTCTTCTTGCTGATATTCCCTGAGGCAGAAAAGGTGTTGTAGATTAACTGAATTTTGTGGTTTTCATGATTCTGCATCCTGCCTTTAATTAGTATCACCAAGTTGTTACTGCTTTGTTTCCTTAAACAAGATAATTTGAAAAAAAAATTTAGGACACAATCTTTAAGAGCTACTTATAGTAAAAGGACTGCTCCTATGGGGTGATTTAATCCTAGAGGTTTTGCTTTAAATGTACCACACTATTGAGATAATTTTTCAAGAAATTTTGAGTTCAAGGCAGCAGCTGCACCTGGCAAAGGAGTGAAAGATTTGCTGTTAGCTTTTTCTTGTATGGTCTCACACTGTGACTATAAATCCTTTTTTTTTTTTAAAGAAAAAAATTATACTTAACCAACCTGTATTTCTCAACATATTCAGTACCTCAGGGCAGCTAAAAGCTAATCACAAAGCTTTATAGATAATCTAACTTGTTCCATAATATTAGGAGTATATCCAAAGCCTTTAATTTGAAAGGTTAACAGTTTCAGAGACACCCAAGGGCCAGTGTACTTAAGAACTTGGGATTTTAGTTATGCACTCAACCTCCTATTATTATAGGAAATGCAAAACAAACCAAACCAAAAACCCTACTTTGTTAGGCTTAAAAATTACTGTAATTTTCAAGGTGATCTTGGGATCCTATAAAACCTTAACAAAGATCATAGTGATGCCCACCACTCAGTAGAATTTTCTAAACTTAGTGTCATGACTCATGGTTTCAACAAATATTTACCGAGTACCAGGCAATATGCTAGGTAGGCACTATGTCACAAATTCTGATCAAGTTTAGAGGAAAAAGGTATTTGACAACAAACCCACGAAGGGAAAACACAACACCGAAGACAAACACAATACTGAAGACAAAACGACTGCTGGCATTTAATTTTGCAAAAGGTTCCTTCGTAGTCTGCAGGCACACGGAGCCAGGGCCTGAGTGTGAGGCCGAAAGTGAGAACCGGGAGGAGGGAGGGCACGCGGCAGGGCTCCTGCACCTAGCACGCCGAGTCCCCGGGCACCGTCGCCCGGCGCTCAGGCGCCACGGCCCGGGTGCGGCGGCACTAGCCGCGCGGGCTCCCGCAGAGTCGCGGCACCGCCCGGACCCGACTTCCACTACCACTCCGCGGGCCGCGCGACCCTGCAGAGGAGCAGCGGCGAGAGCGGGCCTCAGGGTTCAGCTGTGCGCGGACTGAGCCCCCCGCGGGTCCCCGCACCTTCCAGTGCCCATCTGCCTCCCCTCGTTACCACGGCCAGAGACTCTTCAGGCTGCCGGCGCTAAGGGGCCGGGGCAATCGCCCCGGAACCCGGCTCGCGGAGGAGCAAGGCGAACGCGCTAGGCCCGCTTCCAGCGCCGGTCGCGGGGCGCAGAAGTGCAGCACGGCCACCACCACGGCGGACGGCTTGGAGCTCTGCCCCGGGCAGCCGGCCGGGACGGGATTCGCCCCACCCCGGCCGGGTCAGGAGCCGTCGCTCGGCCCCGCCTTCTCGCTCCCAGCTCAAGGCGGGGCCTTAGGGCTGGGGGCGGGGCGGAAAAGAAAGCAAACTACAATTCCCAGCAGGCCGAGCGCTGAGCCGTAGAGGCTGCTGGGAGAGTGGGTCTCCTTCGAGCTTCCCTGCTGGGTGGGGGCTGCTATTGACCAGGCGTCACTGCGGATTCGAGGTCGCCGAAAGATGATGTGGTGAAGTCATCCGGCCATCTCGGCCACGCCCGGGCAGTTAGTGGCCAGGGCGGCCGCTTCGGCTGCTTCTCTCCGGGTGCAGCCTCGTTAGGGGTTTCTCCTTGAGGGAGCGCGGGCGGAGGAGCGAAGACGCCGGACCTGTCCTGTGAGTAACCTCCCGCGCGCGACTCGAACTTGCCCTTGTCAGCTTCGCCAGAAGGCGGAGGAGCCTTCCAGCTCCCGCATGCCCCACTCCTCGGAGGTCACTAGGCCGGGTACTCACGAGGTCCCCTGCCCCTGGAAGGGAGAGAGATGTTTCTAAGTGTAGCTGCAAGTGATCGGCGCTGGGCTGTAGCCTCCGGTTTCACCCCATCTACACGTCTGCAGATTGGCAGCCTCTCATCCTCTGCCAGACAGCATCCTTCTGAAGCTCCGTCTTTCAGGGATGAGTGGCTTTAGTGTCTGGACGTTAAACCTTTAAACCCTCGGTGGCCATCTGTGATGTAAAGGGTAGGCGAGGACATTAGAAAGAGCTCTTTCTGTGCTGGGCTTTTCTTTGCCATTGATTTGGAGCCAGACACCACGTCTTAAAAAAAAAAGATCGACTTTAGTTTGAAACATAAAGAATGGATATTGACAAGTATCCTCCTCAGTGCCAGCATAAAAATAGTGTCCCAAACACTGAAAAAAAAAAAAAAAAAAGAAAGAAAGAAAGAAAAAAATCGCAATTAGAGTAGCAAACTCAGTTATGCACATTTTTCTGCACCGGAAAAGATAATTTTTCATTGGAAATTCACCTAGCCGATATGGATCATGGAACAAAATGAACTGGACTTTTTGGGCTCTTAGTAAAGTTTTTTGTGATCTTCAAATCTTTGCTGTCACATGGGAAGTCTGAGCAACAATTATCTGGGAAGGGCTTGTTAATAGTGATGACATGACACTTGAACACAAATTGGGAAGGACATTTGGTGGTGAGGAAGGGTAAAAATAAAGGCACTTTATCTCAGCAATTATTCAGCTTTCTATTTTTAAAATTAAATAGTACCCAACGAGTCTCAGACATTTACAAGCTCATAATATTTGAAAGACAGTGTTTTATATTCATTCACATTTTTATCATATGCGGGAAGGAGGCAGTGGGAAAGAACCAACATTTGGGTACCTGCAGTCTGCCAGGAACCCCAGGTCTGAGTTGTACAGACATAGCTAACTTAATTGCTTTAACAGCTTGTTGCACTAATGTGAGGCTCAAAGACTGCTTATGTAACACGTGAAGAGCTAAATCTAGATCTGCATTGCTTAAAAGTTATGGATCAGGTAAATTTAACCCTAAAGACTGAATGATTAAAAAGAGTATTTCATTATTTCTACTTCTACTATACCTGGATTTGGAAAGTCCAGAGTCCCTACTTTAGTACTTTAAACAAATTGTGCGCTCTGTCTCCTATTCCCATCCCTCATAAAGCTATTCATTAAGACTCTACAAGCTCATTCCAATCCACCTGGGTGTACTTAGGTAAAAAATGATAGGCTTGGACTTGCAACACAAAGGCTCTTTCCAGTTCACAGGTTTTTATGGTTCTACAACTGAAAGTCTGAACCAAGGACTGTGAATGGTTAACATCTATAGTGATGAACAGAACTTGCTTTTAATTTTTTATTTCACTGCCTAAAATTTGTTAAACACCAGCGAAAGGGATGAGATATGGTAGCATTTCATGCTCATTTTAATTTCATCTACATAAAAGTATACCTGTTTTTGTTTTGTTTCAAATTTTGATTATTTTTATTTTATGTGTATGGGTGTTTTGCCTGCATGTATGTAGAAGCACCAGGTCCATGCAATGCCTGTGGAGTTCAGAGGAAAGCAAAAGATCCCTTGGAACTGGAGTTACAGATGGTTGTTAGTGCCATGTAGGTGCTGGGGACTGAACCAAGGTCCACTGGAAGAGCAGCCAGTGCTCTTCACTGCTGAGTCATTTCTCTTTTGATTTCTCTGAGCCTGTCTCTTTTGATTTTTGAGACAGGATCTCACATGTAACACTGGCTAGCCTAGAACTCACTACATAGACCAGGCTGGCCTGAAATTCACAGAGATCCACTTGCCTCTGCCTCTGGAGTACTAGGATTAAACATATATACCACTAGATCATTTATTTATTTATTTATGCATGTGTGTGTGTGTGCGCGCGCGTGTGTGTGTGTGTGTGTGTGTGTGTGTGTTTGCATAGATGAGTACATGTGGAATTCAGAGGAAAACTTATAAAGTTTGGTTCTCTCCCACCATGTAGGTATTGGGGATCAAACTCAGGTCATAGGCTTGGCAGCAAGCACTTTTATCTGCTTAGCCATATGGCTCGTCTGTACCAGTGTTTAAACTTTCTTAGGCATTAAACTGTTAGTCACATTAAAAATCTAGTCACATTTTTTCAGACCTGCAGTGGTCTTTTAATCATAATACTAATAGAAAACATTTAAATAATAGAGTGTGCTATATACCCAACTAAATGTTTTACCTACATTATCATTGTCGTAATAGCAACAGAGAGAGAGAGAGAGAGAGAGAGAGAGAGAGAGAGAGAGAAAGGATAGATAGATAGATAGATAGGCAGGCAACTAAAAAGGATAGGATATTAAATATACCCAAGGACATGTAACTGCCAAGTTGTAGAAATGACTGTCAAACCAGGCATGCCCAAATCTTTACTCCAGAATTTGAGCACTTAGTGCTTACCAAAACCAAGCTGAGTGGTTTTATTGTAATTAAATTGTTTATTATTACAACTATCTTATTTAGAATAGAAATTCAATATTAAATGACTTGACAGACGTCATAGGAAATGCAATAATGGAGCCAGAATTTGAACTCATGCATCCTTTAAGAAACTTAAATGCTCATGTCTTCCTTTTGCTTCTCACCACATCTTCATTAAATACTTTCTGTGTGTCACTGTCCTAGATGATAAGCATATAATCTTCACTGTTAAGGAATGTAGCCTGAAGAGGAAAAGGTAGTTATATTAGTGTGTTGAGCAAGAGGAGAGCAGTATACAGAGGTACTGTAGGCACTAAGAAAGGGCACTGAAATTGTCCTGAAGGGCCAGCCTTGGAAAAACAAATGGGAGTTAGCTTAGGCAGAAAGAAGTAGAGGTTGTTATGAGATGAGTTGTGTACTCTCAAAGTTTTATGTGGTAGCCCTACTTAACCCTCATCACCTCAGAAACTCACTATATATCTATAGGGTTTTTTAGGTGATTAAGTTAAAATGAGACCATTAGGGTGGATTCTAGTGCAGTCTGACAGGTGTGCTTACAAGAAGATGAAATCTGAACACAAAAAGAGACTGAGATGCCCCTGCATAAGGAAGAGCATGTCTGGATGCCAAGAAGAGAGGCCAAACCTGCCAACACAACTGAGGAAAATAAGTTTCTGTTATTTAACCTGCCCACTCTGTGCTTTTTTGTCCTGGCAGCCCCAGCAAACTAAGAAATAGGTGTTGTAGGCAAAGGGAATGGCATACAAAAAGCCTTTGAGGTATGACTAGATGATTCCATTTCATAGTGAATTTTGAGAGATGAAGCTCAAGACCAGGCTGGGCAGATTAGGAAGATTTGATCTGAGTTCCAACGAGATTTAAATGTTATTTTAAGGGAAAAAGAATGAAGGGGGTTGTAGCTGTGGAAAAACATACCTGCATTTTAGAAAGACCATGGCAAATGGAAGAACAGTTGAGGCAGGGAGAGACCAGTTCAGGTAACTACTACTGTAGGAAACTAAAGATTTTTCTCAGAATGTAAGGTAGAGCTGGGGAGATGACTCAGTGGGTAAAGATACCTGCCCTCAAGCCTGATAACCTGAGTTCTATCCCTAGGACCCAAGTGGTGGAATGAGAGAACCAACTCCCAAAAATTGTCCTCTGACCTTTACATGTGAGCCATGGCATGCACAAGCACATACATACTCACAATAAATAAAGTATAAGATTTTTTTAAGACAGCACAGTTAACCCTTAGAGTATATATATAGGCTAACTTAGGAAGAATTTGTATACTTCATGGTTGATTTTTTTTTGATCATGAAGCTTTGCACAACTATCACAGAATATTTGGCATTTTTCCACTTTATGGAATGGTTTTTAGGTACACTAGTAGGCACAGTGCTTAAACTCTTTGAAGCCCATCCTCTGGCAGCCTTCTGAAATACCTACTATTAATCTCCATTTTATGCATATATGTAGAGAGAGACATATTAGGTAACTTGTCCAAGGTCACTTAACTAAATGGCCAAGTTTAAATTCCAACTCAAGCATTCTGTCTTCATAGTCTGTGTTCTTAACCTTTCACTGTGCTATTGCCATCTGCCTACAGTTTATCAAGGTTTTCTGCTACATGTGACTTAATCATCTTTATACCCCCTTCTCCATTGACACCCTCCCGTAGCCTTCCCCCACTGAAATTCATACATTCTATCATTTGTGTTAAAGCCTATTGTGTCAAGTCAGTGTCCCTAGACATCCCTCAGTGCAAGTTCATCCTCTGAGGTCTAGACAGCCTATCTAAAGTCCCTCCCTTTAAGAAGATCAGCTCTTCCTCACCCAGCAGTAATCAACTTCCTATAATTCTTCAACTAAGATTGGGGCTTGTTGTCCATTTCCATAGTTCTGCGTTGGGGTTTTGTCTTCTTGAGTTTGCATAGGTCTTGTGCATGCTGACACCATTGCTATAGGTTCGTATGAGCAAGGTCCCAGGAGCTTATAGGATTCTTATTTCCATATGGTTGTACACTTTCCATACTACTGGACTCTTATAGTCTTTCTGTCCCCTCTTCTGCAATGGTCCCTGAGCCCTGGGTGGATAGAGTTTAATATAAGATTCCTGTCCAAGGACCTACAATCTGCAGACTCTTACTCTCCACACTTTGACCATTTGTGACCTTTTGTGTTCCTGGCCCCCTATTGTATGAGGGAACTTCATTAATAAGAATTGAGGGATACATTAGTGTCCTCTTTACCCCCTTGTTCTATGTTCTATGAGCCTTAGGTGTAGAGGTTGTATTGTAAATATGTCACTTAGACTTGGGCAGTTCACAGACAATGTCTGGTGTGACCAGTTGTGGAACTCTGTAATAGTCTATCTCTGTTGCAAAAAAAGCTTCTTTGATGAA